TGCACTCCAACCAACTGGCGTGCTGCAACTGTATGGACCCCGAATTTGGGAAATGTTTGCACAGAGGGCTCTTGTTGATTTGCTGGCCCGCCTTCACTTAGGGCGGGCACTAGGCTTGCTGGGGCCTTAGCCCAGAACATGTACATCATGGCAAGGCCCCTTCTTGAGGGCTCAATCCTCACACTAATGCTTTAGCAAGGATCTTCTATAAAGTGAGTAGATATATTGGCTTGTACTTCTTTTTTCTTTTTTTTTTAACCAACCTATATTCTTCTCTTGATATATCTCCCACTACCTACCTACCTACACGCAGCTTAGCAATCCACTACAGGGTTTTTCGTGCCCAAGGCAGGAAATCTCTCCTAAGCTTCTACCACCAGGCGTGCGCTGGAAGGCGCAAATGGGCGCATCCCAGCCAGCCAGGAGGCCCAAGCCAATTATACCTGATGGAGAACCTGAAGCGCATCACAGGAGGTCGTGGGGATAGAATGGACGACGTGGGGAAACCAACCCACGACCTCCGGCAAACCACTTCCGTGCTCAAACCAACTGAGATATTAGGCTTTCCTCTCTTTTTTAAGTAGGGTTAAAAAACTGCTGCTAAGAAAATCTCCCATACCCCCTCTATTCCAGCTATCCTCGTAGACGTTTCGGAGAACTTTCCTAGAGCAGGCCAAAAATGTTCCCAGAACTCCATGATCACTCGATCTATGCCAGGTATTTTCTTATTGTTCATGTTGATCAAGGCAAACTTGAGTTCTTCCAGAGATGCGGAGATGTCAAGCAATTTTGCTTTGCTTGCTCTTCAACGACTGTCGATCCATGTGCTGTAGCATTTTGGATCTGGCTTTACGAAAGGTGGCATTGATGACGGTGTCTTGGATTCAGACAATTCTTCATAGAATGTTTCCACTATAACTAACATCCCTTCACTGTCCGTTCATATATTGGGTGAGCCTTCTGATTCTTGTACCTCTTCTGTGGTATTAGATATATTGTTGGCTGTTATCCTTCCAAAGAGATACTTAGCTTCAGACATCAATTTGTTTAGTTCACAGTCTTTCACTCTGGCTCTTACTTGTAGTAACCTTCATTCCCAGAGCTTCCAAATAGCCAGTTCCTCCTGTGCTCTATTAAAAAAAGATGGCAGCAGATGCTGAATTAATGGCTAACGTATCTCGGCAACTGTTAGTATCCAACCCCTGCCTTCTATATTTCCTGTCACTTGCCAGCTTCTTGAATTCTTGACCTTGCTTCAGAGAATGTCTCATCAAACTAATCCCTGTTTATGTCAGATTGTCGCAACTAAAAGCAATACTGGCACCTAATAAAAGTATGGGTCCACCATTACTGCTCCTCGCTCCGGGTGCTGACAGACAGAATCGTTGTGAACCCTGACACCCCACGCACATAGAGCAGTGGTCTGAGTTCAGGTTGTCTAACTGCACCTCGGATTGTGTGTGGGGTGGCCAGCATCTTCCCTGAGGTATCCCTGGGAACCCGACACGATGCTGGGATGGGCTGACCCACAAAGGGGGCCAGGGATTTGCAAAGGAGGGGTAGGAGGCAAACTGCTGAATGACCAATAGGAGCAAGAACGGAATAGCCTCCAGGCGTGTCATGGAATGGTCATTAGGTTCTCCAGGCTAACTTAGGCAGGGGTGAGGGGTGCTACATCCTTTGAAGTTTGAAGTAATCAACGCCATCCACTCGGGCCTTCCAACTGAAATGGTGAGAAGCGTGAGTACATGATGTATTCTCTTTGACTTGCCGGTGGAGTAGGAACCAGACTGATGCTCCCCAGAATGGACAAGGAGCCAGAACCATACGGTTCTGTGTTCTTTTCAAAAAAAAGAAAAAGAAGAAGCATTGGGGTATCAGTATGGCACTGGTATGAAATTGCAAGGCATCAATGCATGATCCCTATCGGATTGAGCAAAAAGAGGTGCAGCCCTCAAAGTATCAGCATTCAAAACTCACTGAAGTATATCAAGCAGCTCAGTGTGGTTGCTCCACACACGGAATGGTATGGCCACAAGCCTGGCCATCCTCCTCCGCACACGGTACTCTGGATCATGAAGCAGAGCAATGAAGGGCTCCATCAAATCCTGAAGATTTGAACAAACAAGGGAAAGATAAAGACCCGAGTAAGCGTTGGTCATATCAGCTCTTCAATCTATCCTTCCCAAACTGGTTACACACTCTGAGAAGGCCAAACCCTTAGCCACTGCACTTCACCATTATGTTAATCCAACTGGCACAAACTTTTCTTCTCCTAGTGTATTTGTCCAGTCACAGTCACCTTTTTTGCTTTGGAAAATGTGGAGGGATTCACTGTTCTATGTTCTGAAGTAATAAACAGAGCGTAAAAAAGGGCCTAGTGCCAAAGGCATTAAAAAAGTAATTACATATTGGTTTGGCCGCCGGCACTGCATTTCCAACACACATTGATAGCTCGGCACTGGTTTCTAAAGTGAAAACAGGGCACACACTAGATTCCACAAAGTAAGATCGGGGGGGGGGGGGGGGGGGGTTCGTTTAAACATTGAAGTTAAACCAACAGTACACACCAGTACACGGCCTCAGCCTTGCAGCAAAATAACTTGTCGCCACAAGAAGTACAAGGCGGGTTCAGGGCAGGGTCGGAGCGTCAGAGGGTTTTCGAATTTTTGGGCCCATCTTGAATCCGTACGTCCCAAAAAACAAAACAAGCTTTGGCCGTGATTGCAGTTCGATACACGTTTTGGAGCACTCGTGCGATTTGCCCTCAGTGAGGGCACTTCAGCAGAACATAGAACACGGGGAGCAGGACTGTCGGACTCTCAAAAAAAGAACCAAAAAAAAAAAGCCAACAACGCTTTGACCATGAAAGTGGTTGGATGCATTTCAACGTTGCTAGTGCGAGCATGCCCTCAGCGAGGGCTTTTTGAGCAAGAGGAATATGCGCTGCCTTGCTGGCAGGGCCAGGAAGAAAAAAACAAAACGAGAAAAAAAGGAAAAACAGCAACGTTTCCCTCTCCCCGTAATAGTGGTCAGATGCATTCAGGAAAGTGATCATTTGCGTATGGCCTCCATGACGTCCTTTCACGACATCATTGCTCTCTGGCATGTTTGTTCCTTTCTTTTCTTTTCTTTTCTTTTTTTCGGTTCAGGCAGACCGGCAGCACCACTGCCGCACCAGTGCCCACTTCCGAACTTCCCACTGCAGGTACCCTCACGCAGAAGGCTCGGAAAATAGTGGCGCGCAGTGGGCAGGTAGGTTTGGGATTTTAGGTGCGGGTGTACTGGTGGTTTAAAGGTGCAATGTAGTCAGTCCCTCAGATCTCCCTTGAGACCTCTTAAGCTCCTTACTGGTCTGAATGAGAGGAGATCCTCCTCAGCTCTTGGATGTTAAATTCCGAACTGGAGACGGCCATTGCGCAAACATCATTAACAACAGCCTCATGAACGAAGATGATACATTCAGGACTGCTCTCTGTCCATGTCCCTGGCGTGCTAACCGCCAAACCTCAAATTGACGGCCCAGTGGCTTCTCCATCGGTCCCTAAGTGTGGTAAGTACTCACAACATTCGGGTAGCGAAGCTTACACTTGTTCAATAGTCCGTCATGGCTTTCTTCCCTGTACCTTTCCGCTCGAATTCAGAGAGTTGCCAGCTCTCTTTTTAAGGTGCAGGAGTCTACTGAGCATCGCAGCATAGGCAGGCCTTGCATACGTTTCAATTGTTGTCCATTGAGACTCGTGTGAGACACAGGATAGGAGTACCAAGACTCCCTTTTCCAACCCTGTTTGCCCCTGTACCTTTCACAGAGAGCACCTTTTTTTCCTCTTTTTCAGAATTTGGACCATTCTTGTGTGCCATCCTTGTGGGGGGCACATGCCAATCTTCAATGCATCAATCAATTTTATTGCATGTCCTGAAGGATGGGACAGAGATCCTCCTATGTTTTTTCTCCCCCAAATTTCATCCATCTTTCTGTTTCCACTCGCTGTTCTCTGTTCAGAAATCCTTGTGGATGTCACTTGCATGGTCGCGGAGCACGTTTCATGCCGCCGATGCCATCTCATTATTGGGTTTTCTACTGCCATGTTGTGGAAAATTATACATGGACTTCACAAGAATTCCCTGGAAGTCCCTCTTACACAAATCGTGTACATATCTGAATCAGCATGCTGACACCCGTAACAGCTGAAGCCTATCCCACGTCATTCAACTATCGGTGTTGCTCAACTGTTGGGCATTACTACACCAAGTCTGGATCCTAAGCCCGGAATAGAGCTCTGTGCTCGACAACAAACGAAAAAAGAAAGTATACAAAAGTACGGTCTCAACGAGCTCAACCACTCGAGTGGATGGCAGTTCAATGCGCTCCCCCCCCCCCCCCCCCCCCCCCCTTCCCTTTTCTGGAGAATGTTCTGGTGTAGTAGTTTCCCTTTTTTTCGGCTGGAAGAGATGAAGCTGTGGCACCACCTAATTACAACAGACGAGATCCTCAAGAGAGCTGCAGGCTGCTAGCGACCAGACAGAGTTGGAAAGAAATGTTGTAGACACCTACAACATGGCACACACAGTTCACTAGTCTAAGACAAAAGTTGATTTCACAAGAGCAGGCCCAGCCATCAACTTTCCGATGCATGTCCAAGTGTCAGAGGTGTCGTGGTTTGGAGCTGACATGCAACAGCGCCTGTAAGTACACATTCTGCATGCACTGGAACACGGGTACAGAAAACCTAGCAGCTCGATTTATCTCCCAGTGCTTCTCTGGATGATATCCACAGCTTGCATACCTTTGCAGAATCCCCATCCAACCAAATCAGAGCTCCAATTGCATCTGCCAATTCAGAGCGAGACTGCCACATTGCCAGGTGCACGTTGATCACTTCACTGACAAGATCTGCAACCCTATTCGTCATCTGCATTCACCAGCCAAAAGAGGGACCACAGACTTGGTACCATTGACTTCTCCATGTTCACTTCTTATGTCTGAATTTCTTATGTGAGGGGAATACTAAGAAGAGTGCAAAACATTTTTCGTGACAAATTGAGAATCGAAGACAGAGCGGACGAGGAAACACTTCATGCCACAGCTTTAGGTGGACCCTGGGGCATCAGTCAACCGAATAACTTCAGCAGCATTAAGAATAAAAATAAAAATAATTAATAGTTTTGAAGTTTTTGACAATCACCTGCCTTTCTTCAACCCTCCTCCAAATGAAACCGCCCACCTTCACAACCCCTTACTCTCTTCTTTTCTAGATACCTTGCACAATCAGGAAACGTACCTTCCCTAAAGAGGAACATACTGACATACTATGTTTTTAGTAGTTCAGAATAAGAAAGTGCAATAACTCACCGTAAAATATGCAATAGTCTTGAGCCACACGTCGACACTTGGGTCTAAGGCCCGTAACAGGGACCAAAGGCCACACCCAAGTACAAGGTCTGCTGCTGTGGGTACCTGAAGCACGGCCTAAACGGGGGTCTGAGAGGCCCTGTGTGCAATAGTTGCCCGTGGAAAGTCAAAGGTCAACAGCAACTCGGAAATTCAGGCTCACGAGTCAAAGTCCACACGGTCCCAGCCCAGGCAACAGACTAGACACACACGTTTGGTTGTTTGCAGGTATCTGCCAAGGATTCAGTCCAAGTGGGAATCTGCAACTGTATGGAATCCAGGCCGTCGACGGTGGGTCAATCTGGGCTGCCATATCCACGAGACCAGAGGCTGGTCAAGCCGAGTCAACACTATATGTTGACCCAGCCCCTGCTGACCGATATTCAGTCTTGCACTTGCTGCTCGACGTTGGCTGGACGCTGGCCCTATGCTGGCATATCGCTGGCTCTGTGCAAGCTTGACATTGGACGACGACGTGAGACTGCTTGGCATTTACTTGACATTGGCTCCATCTCCGTCTTGGCACCAGCTGGATCAGAGACTATGCTGACGTGGCGCTGGCCACACTGTCTACTACAGACACTATGCTGATGTGGCATTGGCCACACTGTCTACAGCATTGATTGGAGATGGGCGAGAATCAGGGCTGTGAGATTGGTTGATCAAAGGGAAGCTTACCTGTTTGATGATGTGTCAAAATTGCACGCTGCTGATCGTCTTCACGAGGTATACACGCTGACAAGCGCTGCGATGAGATCTGCTCTTTGTAAGATTGTGTCAGAGGAGACTGTTAGCTGATGTGGCCAGGGGAGATACCCGAAGTTGAAGAGGGGAACTGAGGGAGTTCTATCTGCTGCTCTGATGGTTACTTTCCAATGACTTGCTGAGTTCCACTGCCGAGACTGACTTGCGAGGTTCTACAGTGTGCTGTGTGCTTGCTGTGTTTTTTTGGTCTGCACTGAGGGACTCCCGCTATTCTAAAAATAGCTAGGACTAACAACAGTAGGGGCTGAGTGGTTACCGGCCCTAAGTGGCCCTGAGCCCTAAGTGCAGCAGTAGGACCGGTTTCGTAGAGGCCGAGTAGGCCCTAACTGAACCGGTACCGGTAGGTCCTAGGCTAGAGTAGTGTAGAATCTACAAGTAGGTTAGCGTAGGACTGTTTGGGATTTTTTTGGCAATTCATTTTCGCGATACAGCGTTGGAGCCAAGGAGGTTTGCAACGGCGATTGTCTGCAGGCGGTACCCTGAGACCCTCACCGTGGACAGCAGCCATAGCCAGCCTGCTGAGGGCTTGCCATAGCTGGGGCATCCCCTGCGCATCAACCGCTGTGGGTTTCTGCGAGTGGCTGGGCTGTGTGGAGACTCTTCACTGAGTCCTTGTGGGTGGTGGCAGCCATAGCTGCTGGTTCTTCGTCAGAGTTGTTCAGCGGCACTGAAGGCTTCATCACAGGATCTGTTCTTCATCTGGGTGGTTGGCGCTGGCCTCTGGGAGGCCATTCTGATGTGGCGCTACTAACTGAGTGTAGGGTAGTGAGTGGAGTGTGAGGTTCTGAGAGTGGCGAGACACTGGAACAAACTTTGTAACGATTTCTAGTTAATTGGCTCATCATCAGTGTGTATTCCAATTGTTATCCTCGCAGGTTCTTTCTTGTGATTGGTTGTTGGGAGTATCGTCAGAGAGTGAGAAACACTGTGTATCCTCTCCCCATCTGTGCATGGTTGTGCTTCCGCTATCTACTATGATCTGTGTGCAGTGTGGACTCTGTCTCCTCTCCCCCTTCTCTTATGCATGTATGGGCGTGTATGAGATTGTCTGTGTGTGAGTGGCGGTAAAAATCGTCAGACAACCAAGTTCATAACAGTTGGTATCGGAGCGAGATTGGAATTGGAGGACTGAGGGGTGAGTGCAACGGGTATCTTCTTCATCTGGCGACATACTGGCGAGAGCTTCATGGCGATTCATCTTCCCCAATACTGAGTCAGCAGGGAAGAAGACTTCAAGCGGTGGATTCAGGAGTTCAGTGCTTGCACTGAGCAAGCGCACTGAGCCTGTCAGGGCGCTTGTGTGAAAGTGGCGAGAACAGCGTTAATTCGCCGTAGGCAACCCTGAGGGTAGTGTTGCGAAGTACCCCTGAGTGGCGAAATACCCCTGAAGACTTCAGGGATTGCTGAGCGGCTTCATTCATGAGCAGCGCTGAGGGAGATTGACAGTCTGTGTCAATCTCAGGAGGAGATAACCGCATCTGGGGCTATTTATAGCATCAGCGGATCTCAGGTCGCTTGGGGCAGCAACGCTACAGCGGTACCCTGCAGGCCTTGTTTGCAGAGTTCGAGCAACTCACCTCTACCCCTGGGTTGGTCATGTCTACTGGTGATTTGCTGACCAACTTCTGCAGGGCAGCACCTGAGAAGTTTGTTGTGGCATTGTACAGCGTTGGGCACAAGGACTGGAGATCCTTTGGCCGCGCAGCCCTGGACATGGAGGCAAAACTTCATGTTCAGCCCCCCTCCTCTGACAGGAGGAAAGGTGCCTTCCCTCGTGGTGGAAGAAAGGGAAAGGCAGCCTTCACACATGCAGGATCTGCATCAACCTCAGATTCGGATTCTCAGGCTGATATACCATCAGCTGGGACTGGATCCGCTGCTGAAACAGATGTTGCAGCGGCCCTGACCCAGACTGTTTTGGGAGTTCTGCAGCAGCAGCAGAAGTTCTCTCCCACCACAACCTCAGTCAGTGCTAAGGGGAAGGACAAGGTACGTCGACCTTCCTCCTCCCAGCGCCCTAACCTACCCAAAGACGTCCATATGCCAGTTGACCCTCTCAATCCCTCCACTCTCCCCTGGCATGACCTCAAGATCCAGGAGGGAGTGTGGAGAAGAAGAAAGGAAAGAGGAATCTGCCTGAGGTGTGAGGGACAACACTTTTGAAGGACTGCCCTTACATGCCAGGCCCAGGACAGTCAAAAAACCGAAACAGACCCTGGGGACTGCAGTTCCCCCCAGTGTTGCACCTTCATCTACCAAGGTAGGTGAATCTGCAACTGTTTCAGTTGAGACCGATTGTGAGAGTTTGTGGACTGCACGGGCAACATCCTTCTGTTTTGAGGATCCTAACCCGGATCAGGACCCGGGGCAGGATGAGCTTCAGTCACTTGCTGCCTTCTTCGTCCACCTGAAGGAACAGAAGAAGCGCAAGTTTGACCTCATCCTACTTCGGCCCCTGATCAACCACATCAGGATCAAAGGGCTATTGGATTATGGAGCCACCATAAACTTTATATCTCCCAGTGTTGTTAAGAAACTGCATCTGGGGATGAAAGTTCAGCAGCTGCTACAACCTTCGCTGGTCAGGATAGGTGACTTCACAATGCTCACCATCAGGGAGAAAGTCAAGGGTATCCCTGTGACTTTTGATAGTGCTGGAGAAGTCAAATATAATCTGNACCTTTGCCGATCAGGATAGGTGACTTCACAATGCTCACCATCAGGGAGAAAGTCAAGGGTATCCCTGTGACTTTTGATAGTGCTGGAGAAGTCAGACATAGTCTGAACTTCTACATCTTCCCTGACCTACCCTTTGACCTCGTGTTCTCTATGCAGTGGTTGAAGGCAGTCAACCCTAGGATCGACTGGCAGATCCCAAAGGTTGAACTACCTAATAGACAGGGAGTGTATCAGCCATGCATGATTGCTGCTTTGCTACTGCCTGAAAGCGAGGGAGTTTTATTCTCTCTCGCGCTAGTACGATCATGAGCGTCTGTTTATAGCTCTGGTCAAGCAGACTGACGCTCCCCCTCTTTTTCCTGCCCTCCTGAGATGCAGCAGGTGGTTGATAAGTATGCTGATCTGATGCAGGAGCCCTTTGGGTTACCCAACCGGCCAGCCAAACATCGGATTGAGCTACTGCCTGGAGCAGTCCCTCCCAAGGGCCGCATCTACAGGATGTCCCCTACTGAGCTCGAGGAACTCAGAAAGCAGCTCGAGACCCTTACCAGCAAAGGCTGGATTAGACCCAACACTTCTGAATTCGGTGCACCAGTTCTCTTTGTTCCCAAATGGAATGGTGAGTTCAGAATGTGTATTGACTATAGGGGTCTCAATAAGATCACTAGGAAGAGTACAGAGCCACTTCCTAGGATCGATGACCTTCTGGATATGGTGCAGGGCTGCACAATGTTGAGCAAAGTCGACCTCAAATCTGGCTACCACCAGATTGAGATGGTTGAGAAGGATGTCTACAAGACAGCCTTCAACACCAGGTATGGGACTTAGAAGTTCCTGGTCATGCCATTCGGACTTTGCAACGCCCCAGGTACCTTCCAAACAGAGATGCACCGCATCTTCAGGCCTTACCTGGACAAGTTTATGGTTGTCTACCTGGATGACATCCTGGTATTCAGCAGAACTGCCAGGGAACATGCGGAGCACTTGGCTTTGGTCCTTCAGTCGTTACGTGACAGCCAATACAAGATCAACATAGAGAAGTCCTCTTTTGGGACTTCCCTCTGTCATCTACCTGGG